AAAACATGGATTTATCATTATCTGATTATATCTATTCGAAATTTTGTAATACAAATAAATAAGTTTTATGGAGTCTTATTAATAAAACATATGAAAGTTATAAAGAAACTGGTTATTTAACATCTTAAATACTAAAAAGAAAAAAATAAATAAAACAAGAAAATACATTTTTAATAACAAGATTTTATTTAGCCGTTCATAAAATGCAATAAAAATTTAAAAATCATTTTTTATGATTGGAAATGTTTAAACGATTATAAAGCTCCTGCATCTTAAGTTTTCAAATAAAAGCGTGTTGCGTTTTGATAGCAGGATGGAAAAACAGTGTAACACGATTTTATTTGAAAACCTGAGGTGAAGGAGCTTTACTATCGTTTAAATATTCCCAATGGAAAACAAACATTTTCAAAATTTTAATTCATTTTATGAACAGCTAAGTAAAAGCTTGTTTTCATCAGGTTGAATGCCATGGCGGCCGCATACGACCGCCTGCAAATATCCCCACCATGCCATGACGGTCGCATGCTCCACACTTGCCTTCAAAGTTCATTTATGCTCTGCCAGCGGTCGTTGATAGGGATATAATTATTGGGTGAGGTGAATAAAAGAGAGTAAATGCTTTTACTTCATAATTTTAAAGTAAATTCTTGGTAGTAAGTGATTACCTAATAAAACTTTTACTTGTACTTGTTAAGCAAACACTTGCTATCTCGAGTTATTACTCCTAAAGTAACTATTTTGAGTGTTCACTTACGATTGGAGTGAATAACAGCAATCGAAAACTTTACCTATTAAGTAAATACTTTCATTTTCGCAAGGTTGGTTTGATGTTACCTTACCGCAATTGATAATTTGAAGTGTCTAAATTATGGCAGCATTTATGAATATACGTAAAGTTACACAATATCGTGATCGAACAGATATAAGTCCAAATATAGTATGTAGTGCAAAACGTCTTTTAAGGTTTGAAAATAAAAAATCGATTTCATTACAAACTATTTCTTACCAGAAACCAACGAAACTCGAGATGGTGCTCTGTCCTCAAGAAAATATATTGAAATATTTCTCCGGTATATTAGTTTTCAAAGTGGTGTTGCAAACGATTTTGGTATTGCAAGAACAACAGTTTGTAAGACTGTAGATTATGTTGCACAAAAAGTTATGGAGAAGGCAGGTCAATGGATAGTGTTTCTAACAACCGAACGAGATTTAAACGAAGCAAAGACAAGTTGGATGGCAAAATACAGGATTCCCACCGTAATTGGCGCACTTGATTGTACCCATATACAAATTAAAAAACCTGAAGGGCAGTTTGGCGATGAGTGCATAAATAGGAAAAATGTTGCTTCATTAAATGTTCAGATGACATGTGATGCAATGGAAAGGATCACAAGTATAGACGTGCAATGGCCTGGAAGTGTGCACGATAGTAGGATTTGGAGACAAAGAGCTGTTCAACAAAAACTTGCAAGATTCCAAGGGAATGCTTGCTTGCTAGGGGACAGCGGATATGGTATATCTCCATGGCTTTTAACACCATTTAGACAACCAGAAACTGAATTAGAACGGCGGTACAACAGATTACATTCAGAAGAAATAGTTGTAATAGAACGTGTATTTGGCTAATTAAAACAGCGCTTTCCAATTCTAGCAAATAGGATTAGACTCGCAATAAGGAACGTACCGAAAATAATCATATGTTGTGCTGTACTTCATAATGTTGCTAAGTATTTGCAGTATGAGTGGGACTATGGAATAGAAAATAATAACGACGATCATGATGCTGTCCCAGAAATTGTTGAGCAAGAGCAAGGAGACATTAGACGTCTTGGTGAAGAAAAGCGCTTAAAAACAGCCCAAATAATAAATCAGTTTAATTCAATTTAAATAACAAAATATGTTACCAACATATTTATCATAGGTAATAGGTATCAAATAAAAATTATGTAGCTCTTAAATACAGTTATTCTAATTAACATGATACTATATCTACTCGTACCAAAAGTTCTGATACATATTATACATGAGAAATTATAGATAAATTCTAATTTTTCATAAATGTGTTAGAAAACTTACCCCAACAAAAGAAAATCTTGCAACCTAAATTCCGAATTAACTAAAGGATCGTCATTCTTTTGGGTACTAATAGCTTCGTTTTCTTGTTGACGTAGGTTTTTCAGTTGTAGTTCCTCTTGTTCAATTTGTAGTCTAGTTAGTTTCAGCTGCCCTAGTAGTACTAAGCGTTGAAGTTTAGGAGTTGATAAACCTACAGTTTCTTCTGTTTCTGCTACTAATAACCTTTGTTTTTTAGAATTGTGGCCACTGAACATGGAAGAAATATCTGCAGCATGTTCTTTGCGTAAAATATGTCTCTGCTGATTACCCTTTCTTGTTTCTGTTGTTGCTTCGCTTACATTTAACTGTGTCGGAAGTAAAACACATTTATTACTGGAATCTAGCCCAACTGTTATTGCTCCTGGTATTTTACTGTATACAAGATTTTCCTCAGCATTTAAAATTTCTCGAAAATCTTTTTCCCATTGAAGTAGCTTGATTGGTTTATTTCCTGTTGATGACAAGTCAGTTTTTTTCTTAACAGTGCTTTTCATATTATTAAGAAGTTTTTTCAAATGATCTATAGTTACGTTTTCCCTGTATATTTTATGAACTCCTCTCTAATTATCATCCAGGCGGTTTCCTTTGCTGAAACCATTTTTGGTACCATTGACTTATTTAGTACTATTTTATTGTTTTCTAGCTGCAAGATTCTGACTAGTTGTGCTCGGTTATCAGAAACAAGTTTTGGTTGTTTACTTTCTTCGTCACTAGAAGACATCCTAATTGTTAGTAATATTCAGCTTTCTTGTGTCCGAATTAAAAATAACTTAGTTAAACAAAAATATACAGAAACCTAAAGAGATTTATACGACGCGTAAGGTTTACAAAGCAAATACTCGTAAATAAGACAATTTAAATATGTGAATAAGGATAAACAAGCTAAGACTTGCACGCGCCGCAAGTATTACCTACCTCAATATTAACAAGTAGACCTTTCTGAGTCATGCCTTACAATTATTCACTCATTGCCAAGCATTTGCTTCAACTCTCAAGACAACACTTTTCTCGTAAGTAAATGCTTATGAAGCGCTTACTTGGTTTTATTTACCTCACCCATAGCAGAAGACCGCTGTGGCATACAGGCCTAGCTTAAGTTAGGGGTTTTCGGTGTAGCTTACAAGGGAAAGTGAAAATAATGTCTGAAGTCGTTTTTTTAAAAACATATATAAAAAAACGTATGCAAGGTGGAACCCCGAAGAGTTTAGTACAAAACAAGGCAATTGAATATCTCGATTTACATATATAAGGCGACTTTAATAAGTGTAGGTTGAAAAAGTCTAAACAAAAGTGAGGTTCACCTTCGCATGATGTATAGTAGGTAAAGACTTTTTGGAATTTCAACTTGCATTTTTTTAGCATAGCAACCTCTGCAGTATTTATTCACTTTATTGAAGGCGCCTATTTTCTTCCGTATAGAATTATGTCTTTTTGAGGCTATTGAGGTCTGATGTAGTCGGGATTCCGGTAGATTGGTGTTATCGTAATTCAGAAGTGATAATACCAGTTGCTCCCGGAACTCTGTTATTTTGGAATTCCATTGAAGGCTAAGATCGACAAAAACAAACTATCCTAATTGCAAAGCATTTTTATTTCATGTTTCGAAGATCACAAGTTCAAACTCTCAAAAGACGACCGCTTGTCCCTAAGGGAATGATAATGTCAGTTATGCCGCTGCGGTCGTATACGGCCGCTCACTTATTTTTGCCAATATGTATGCTAATAAAAAAATATTAAGAAAATTAATTACTTAGTTTAGCGTCTCATGCAAGAAGCTTCTCTTTTTTGAAGTTGGCACCAGAGACATTTACTACGATTTTTCATGGCAGTCAACCTGTTAAAAATGTATTTTTTTATTTTATTTAGTCTTCGTTATCGATCGACCAACCTATAAGCTACTTCTTACTACTAGCATGAGCCGATTCATCATCATTTTATGGTCAAAGAGAGGCAGAGAGAGAGAGAGAGAGAGAGAAAGAGCGAGCTGAAGAAAAAGCGCCAACAACATTTACTAATTATAAGATTGGTATTTTGCGCTCATCAAAAGTGGTGAAGAAGATTAAACTATATTTAGCACCGTACAGCATTTTATATACGTCAGAGGCCCGTAAATTGTACTTATCAATTATTATCCGTGCATAATTGTACATAATGTATACTACCAGTTAGATAATTCGCGTGTACAAAAATACTAAATCATCAAACAAAATACAAGACGAAACAGAACACTGGCGCACAGATATTTTGATGCAAGGTTTTGAACGTATTTTCGCGTATTTGTCGTGCGCGACTTGAAATAACTTATCACGCTATCTTTGTCCAGAAACATGTGAGTATGTGCATAAGCTCTTCAGTGCGAGATGTCACACCTTGCAGTACTTACAGTCTTTAAGTGTCGAAAACAATACTTTCGAAAAGTCGCTTGATAAGAAGTTTTCCAAAACCGAGTCAGCTCGACGAAATTTTAACCGAATTGCATTTGAATTTTTAATCTCTTAACCAGACAGCATTCAACAAAATACCTCTTTGATCACATAAAAGGGCATAAATTAGTATAAAAGATAGTTCAACGACATGTTTAAACTTTTTGAGCAGAACTATTTGTTAATTGCGTTTAGTCATTTTGTGTCTCAACTGGGATCGCGACAGGAGAAATTTCTAAGATAAGATATTGGTTAAGAAAAGTGAAAAGATTTTGGAGACTATGCTCTTATACAGCAGTTACTCCCAATAATATTGTCTGTTCCTACATATGAAGTTTGACGTGGAATGCATAAAATTTTGTAATAGCATGTAGGCATCTAAATAACAAAAAAGTCCAAAATGGATACATGCATGACATTGTAATCTAGTGATCAATGAACTAAACGCATGAATGCACTTACTTCCTCTGTCACCATATCCCTCAACTTAACATCTTGTGATCTAGACACGGATGACGTCCTGTGATACTCTACAAGTTCATTCAGGGAATTGAACTTAACTACCCATAGGAAAAACTTGCCCTGTGCATCTCTCAGTACTTTGAAATGTTGTACGCCATCAGAACACCTGGAAATGTGAAAAGTCACAATTCACTGAAAAAACAGGATTGTAGGACATGAATATTTTTGTTAAAGAAAGCCGTACACTGGCTTATCTGGAGTCATATGTATGAAATCCTAACTGGCAAATTTGTAAGCAAAAATACCAAGTACCTCAAATTCGACCCTCAGCCTTGGGATCTCGGATCCGGTAAGAGATTCGAAGTCGTTTAAAAGAGGACGAAGTTACGTTTAAGTATGCCGCTCAAAAAGTTTCGAAATTTCAAATACTTGGAGAGAGCCATAAAAAACGCAATTTTTCCAAAATCGTTTTAAATTTTTCCTGACTTTATTTATAAGGGGCTTTTAAAATAAATTACACATAGCATTGTCAATTATTCTACTTAGAAGATAACATAATAAGAACTTAAATATGACACTTCGTCTCTTGTCCTCCAGCAATAACTTAATTTTTTCTCAAGGACGCCATTTGGATTTTTGCGCAAACGAATAGTTTTTAATTCTAATTTCAAAAATGTATAATTTTTCTACATTGACATTGCCAAATCTTAGTTATTCTAGAAAAACAGAATTTCCTAGGTAGGCCTTGAAATTATCAGATTTGTTTCCTATACCAGAACAGACCTCAAATTGAACATAGAAACAGAATTTGGAAGAATAGTTGAAATAAACCGCTTAGTGAACAATCTGCATAGAAGAGACAGGTTATGCCTACAAAATAACAGACAACATTTTGAATATAATTTACCTCTGCTTATTTATGATTATCACTGTTATTACCATCAATAAAATGTTCACTTTGTGTTCGGGTTTCACCATACCTTTTTATTTTCTTATAATTTTCACTGTACAACAGCATGGCCAACTAAGAGAGTACATCACTGAATTTAGGACTGAGAATTTTTTTTTTTATATACTCCAACTACCACGAAGGCCTAAGGCCTAAGCAACCATTGGGTACCGTGGGGCTATAGGGGATACATGGGAAAAGGGGGGACGCCACACGGACTCTGGCGAGGGAACACGTGTGCATGCAACATGCACACATTCTGGCTTCGCCTACGAGAACCGCCGGGTGGTACCTCCGCGTTCGACAGTCAGAAACCATCTACCACCTACGGACAATCACAACATCCATAGCCAAGAGAAAGATTTCTCCTGGGACGGGACTCGAACCCGCACAGCGCACGGCGACTGATCAGGAGACCGAAGAGTCTACTACTGCGGCCACCGCTGCTGCCTAAAACAAACACACAACATCCATGGCGAAGGCGAGATTCGAACATGCGGCCCGGCCGGCCGGCTGATCAGTAGCACGACACTCTGACCCACGCGGCCAACCGAGGTCCGAAATTCTGCTTTTATGAAATAACTAAGGCTAATCAAAGTCAATGTATGACGTATTAAACATTTTTGGAATCAGAATGAAAAACTATGCATCAGTGCAAAAACCCAATATGGCTTCCAAAGTAAAAAATTAAGTTCATGCTGGAGGACAAGAGACGAAACGTCATAATGGAAATTCTAATTATCTCATCTTGTAGAGAAGAAAAAGTGGCAATGTTAATGAGTAATTCATTTTGACATCCCACTACAAATAAAGTCAGGAAAAAATTAAAATTATTTTGGAAAAATTATGTGTTTTATGTCGCTCTGGAAGTACATACTTTGAATTTCGAAACTTTTTAAACGGCATTTTGTTATTTACCTAAATACGCAACTTAGACCCCATTAAGCGACTTCGTATCTCTTACAGTTTTCGAGATCCCAGCTTTGAACTTCTGAACATTCTGAAGAGAAATGATTCCCCTTTGGTACTTTCTTTTGCTTAGATTATACGTAACTTGTAGATTTTACTAGCAAAGAGTAGTTATACCAAGTGAAAGCAGTCAGACAAGGCGAATAAAATTACAAACAGATAGAGGTGCAACCGAAAATAAGGAATTCACAGAATAGCTGATGTCATCAAAACACGTGTTGTTTTTATTTCGTTAGAGATCAATGCGGTGCATGTGTATTAAATCAGTGATATTTGCTATGTGAGAAAATTATTACTGATTATGATGCCCGAAAGTAAATTAGCTTTATGTTATCTTTTCTGAAGAGAGGTTATGTTTAAAGTTATAAATTCCAATTTTCCCAGGTTTTTTGCGTTTTAAAAAACTTTGAGAAGCATTACTGGAAATCACCACCGCGCCCGCATAGTGTAATTAAGTCTCATTACAGACAAATATGAATGACGCATCACACGCAAAACATTTTAGCAGAGCCTCACATCTAGGCGCTTATATTTGATGATATCGCAAAACAAATTTCTATAAAATTTAAATGAGCGGAAAAAGTAATGTAAAAAAGTAATAACCTTTTCAAGTTTCATTAATATTCCTGTCTGTAGCCTATTTTCTCACCAGTTAGTTGTAATATACTTCACCAACCAGCAATTTTCTTTCTTTATCTCTCTCATTTTTGAAATTCAGCAAATTTTGGACAAAAAACAAAGGGAACTATCATCAACGCAGATTATTAGCACAAATCCTCACCACGCAGCTATGCCCTGCCGTGTGCTTCCCTCTAGAGTATACAACCTACATCTTAGACCTCCAGTAATGCCATCTTTGAAGCAGATGTTACATCACATGAGAGCCAAACGTCTTGCAGCAAAACCTACATAATGTTACAAAAAACCGACATAATGTCACATTTCAAGATGTTTTCTCTTGGTACAACTACTATTTGCTACTAGATACAATGAGATATGTACTCACTGATAATGACACTTCACTCACAAAGGATGAAAGGAAATAGTGATAAATATCAATTTTACACATCAAAAATGTTTAGTTAATGTATGTATATATAGGAATTCCATTAATACACTGATAATCATAATGCAAATAAACCAAAGGAGTCCAGAAAAACTTAGTAATTCAATATTAATGTGTCTGATGTAATTAAATTACAATTTAATGTTGTCTCCATTAATTCTTTTGTCTTACGTTTTCAGTAGTAACCTATGTTATGCTTGTTATTCATTCATACAAACTGCAAAGATAAATTTGACAGATCTAATTGTACAATTAAAAAATAATTATATATATATAAGTTATATGTATTTCAAGCAATTACCCTAAATGCCTCATAATTTTCGAAAACCAAAGGACAGAAGCGACTATATGATAAAATAAAATTATGGTGGTTCAAATGCACTAAAATGCAACAGCTTATTTCTTGCGATTTAAAAAAATGGTGGTGAAATGGCCAACACCATAGTTTTCCAAACTGTGCTTTTTCATAAAAAACAGTTCAGTTTCTCACTACAGACCTATTGAAACCAAGCCAACATCAATGATTAAATTAATACAAACGTCATTCCAAAAAACTGTTGAGAAAATCAAAGGGACTTCAATGAAAGAGTTTACTACTTGGAGAGTAAAATTAATATAAGGATGATTTAACGGTTCAAAAAGGTTAAAGGAAAAGTATTCAGAAAAGCATTTTTTTAAAAAAGCAATTTTGTAGATAGCCTTTCAATCATACAGCATACTGACAGAAATTACTCAGGTTGCAAATATTTATAAAGAGTTGTGTTATATAGCATGCAATTAATGCGCGCATTATAACAAATAATTTGACGTCAGTACTTTTTTATAGCATAAAACAATGTACAGTGTGTTAGCTCTGTATCTCAGGAATGGTTAGTTACAATACTGGTTGAATGAGAAAAAAATAAGCTCAGTTCTATAAAACCCAGTCAAATAAATTTGTCTTCATTCAACAATGCTAGAGCTCTAACCATACTGAAGCTTTTTTCTGACCCACTTCTGAGCTTTGTTGCAATATAAACAATGCACAAACATACTTTTTGTTCGAAAAATACGTTTTCTAACATTTTCAATACAGTATAGTCATGTCTGTCATTTAATTCTGGCACATAAAAACTTGGCGAGCTTGGAGTGATAAATATCCCCAGAAGTTCTTGTTTGATGCCCTTAGGAAATAAAAATAATGAAACTATATACAAAAAAGTGTGTGGGAGGCAAACAATCAAAGCTGAGATGAGCAAAGGACAGATAGTGAAAAATGTAGTTCTTGTCATTGGTAAATACGAACGACCGAGGTGCATGAAAAATATTAAAAACTTGCCTGTCATTTATGAATCGAACAGACGCGCATGGATGACTTCATTTTTATTAATTATTTAAATGAGTGGGATGGAACACTAAGACGTCAAAAAAGAAAGACATTGCTTCTAGTTGATAATTGTGCAGCTCATCCTAAGAATGTAGATCTGACAAATATCAGATTAGAATTTTTGCCTCCCAATTGCACCTCGGTCGTACAACCGATGGATCAAGGCATAATAAAATGCCTTAAAATATATTATCGTAGATACTTTATGTATCGCCTAATCCGAGCATTGGATAATGAGGAAGCCTTCATAACAATTTTAGAGTCGATAAAATTAATTGCACAATCATGGAATGAAGTTTCAAAAAACACTATTGAAAACTGCTTTCAACATGGTGGTCTGGTGAAATCGATCGACAAGTTTGATTCAGATGATGACTTGTCTTGGACGTCCCCCTAAGTGACTAGTTGCGAAGTCACTGCCCAGACGTAACTACCTTGGAAAAAATATGAATGAACTGGAAGTTATTCTGAAGTACTTTGTGCAATTAAAGCTGTAAAAAATTTCTTACAATTTACTGATTACGGATATGATGATACAATTTTACAAGTCTCGTTAAACGTTGAGAAGCACATCGAGAATATAAAAGTGTGTAAAAAAAATCAACAAACAAAAACAAAAAGTTATTTTTCCGGAAAATCATAACTGTATGCGTAATTACATATGTAATTGTAATATTTAATTTGATTCGTATTCATATCACTATATCTTTTTTATATTACATACCTAGAATGTATTTTCAGTTAGTTTAGACCTTTAATATAACCAAATAAAAATTTACATATTTATTTTTGTATGTTTCCTCTATACCGTACCTCCGATTATACATTTTTTCTCCCTAGAGGGTACGTTATAACCAGTACTGTATTTCACTTACTTCACAGATAATGAGAAATCCCCAGGACTCGACTCGCTTATTCGAATTAAAAAGGCCCCTTCGTGTTTATTCAATAATAACTTTTCAGCATCAGCTCGGGTTATTCTACCATAGTACCAGCTAAAAAATCATAAATAATGCAAACCCAACACATATGTATGATGCTTCAGAACAGGTGTCCCACTTTGCAGATTAGTATTTGTATTTTTACATGTAAAATTTTTACAGCTCAGAAAAATCAAATACAGAAATAAGGTACAAAATTATCTTCAAGTAAGGGTTGTATCAACCTATCACTTAGACAAACAAAACCACATATGTTGGGAGATTAACCTGACTAACATTTTAGTTACCACCACAGATATAATAATACTCAACTACATACTTAATGTAAAGGCGGTGACTGACTGAAGCCGATCTCTGTAATGTAATGCTCACATCGGCCATTACATTACAAAGTTCGGGATTTGAGTCAAGTGAATGTTCACTTGGAATGCTCAGCTAAAAGTGCTCTAAATTCTGCAGAGACTGTGCTCACAGACGAAGTCGCCACCTGTACTGACTTGTAATGTAACCATCAAAGGGATTCGTCAAAAAACCGACAGTCAAGTGGAGCACGACTTGCTCGACGTGAGCGACTCTGCTTTAGCCATTCATTAGCCAATTTTTTTTAGAATATAGTCTCCACTTCTTCACGATGAGAAGTTACTTCCTCCAGTATCACTACTATTAATTAGAACAAGATACTGGTTTGTGTCCTTGGCCAAAGTGAACTGTAGGGTAAATCGAGAGCCAATTAAGTATCCAGTATGAGAGGTAAAGTTTACTCCAACATCATTTACACCACAAGTGAAAGCACCTGTTCAAGATGAACAATCAAGGGATCAACTGATCGAGGATACTTTTACAAGTGATTTAATATAGTCCAGTTCTCACACAGCAGTCCTTATTTGTAAAGTGTAAACGCAATAATATATATTGTAAGATTCATGATTGAAAATGATAATAATAATTAATTGATGCTTTCTGAATGGTTCTGAACAATCCTAAAATGGTATTGAAATTTGGGTTTAACTTTGTATATAAGTATTCCTTGCTCTCTACAAGACCAAAAAGCTTGATATTTATCCTATATACCTTTCTTGCCTAAAAACTATGATGTACTGTAGTATCGCAGATACTATACAATTCAAGGATCACAGAGTATGTATTTCAGTGTAAATGGCAACACTAGCGTCATAGTGCATAGACCAGAAAAGAAACATTTGCTGGATGGCAGCTTGAACTCCAACAACACACTATAAGGGCCTTCGCACACGTATCGTAGTCGTTTCGTAAGCATATCGTTACGACGCAACGCTTACGAGACCTGCAGTGTTCCACACACGCATCGTCACGTACTCGTATCGTTTTGTAAGATCTTAGTTGAAATCATGGCGTCAACGGTACCAGATGTATCCATTGATGATCTTACATTTTCTTCACACGAAGAGAATTTTTTTTGTTTGATTATGATCGAAGTAGAAAGCGACGTGCTCATTGGATACATTGCAAGTAATAAGAAGAAAAGATTTGTTTGTTAGTCCATGTAGACTCTCAGAAGATGACGATAATAAATTCTGAAGCCTTTATCGAATGAGGAAGGAGACATTTCAGCCATATCGACAGCAATTAACAAAACTTTTGAATCTTACGCTTGATTCTACGCCAGACCGCTACGACTATCGTAATACGACTGAACATCTCATACGCTTCGCTGCAACACCGCTTCGTGTGCGGACTTGTTAGCACACATACGAGCTCGTTTTGCTCTCATCCTACGCGCGTATTACGATACGACGTAGTGTGCGAAGGCCCCAAGTCATGATTTGTTCACTATGATTTCTTAACTCTGAATTGCCTTTATGTATAACCCTTAATAATCAACATAAAAAACAAGAGGATCAATATTCAATAAATAATATTGTATCTGAATATGGTAATGGTACAAAAAGTCACTTTTACATGGATGTACAGTACTACAATAAAGTTCTCAACAGTGCAATTCATTCATACAATACAATCCAGTACCCTCAATAGGAATCTGTATGACAACTTGGCAAAGCAAGCATTTTACTCTGTTACTGAATTTTTAATTCTTTAATATGTATCTGATTTTATTAACTTTTTTTTGAGAACATCTGATTGCGATTGTCTATTATATTTATTAAGCTTAATTTTTTAATGTTAAATCTCAAGGAGTGTCACAAAAATATCACCTATTTGATTAACCCAGATATTACTGAAACTTTTTTTCCCAATATTTGCCGCTTCCTTAGTGAGAGTACAGTAAATTGACTCCATTTCAACAACCAAAACCGGTTTATGAACTTTTTTATCCCTAACTAATAGTTACGAGGTGTTCTTTAAAAAGGACGGTAGTAAAATTACCTGATAGCACAAATTTTATTTCAAGGACACATATTGTAAGACATAAAACAAATAACTATTTGGTGTGATACTGTTCGAAACACGTTTTAGGATGTAGTGGAACACTACATTTTCTGCGGCGAAACTGAACTTTTTTATGGCATTCGCCACAATGTTGCCGGTTCTCTTGATAAACCACAAGGTGTTGAGCCCATCATATCTAGAATAAGCATTTTCTTTCGTGTTTAGCTTAGATGGACCCCTCTTAACATTTCTCTGATTAGTTTCCAGAATGTTCCCAGCCAGATGTCTCCTAAATTCAAGTTGATCCATTTTACCTCCTTGTAACCGATGAAGCTGCCAAGCATTATGAATGGCCATATCTATGCACTGAGCAAATAAAGGGAAGTACTACTTTGCTCTTATGGAAATTCTATACAGACTAAAATTTTGGTCTCCTCTGTCCACACCACCGATATAGTTATTGTAGGTTTTTATAATGTTCGGCTGCCTAATATGTACGAGCCCCTTCCCACTTCAGTTGGCCTAACTATTGAAATATTAGTTTTTTCTTATCAAACACAAATAATAAAAATGTAGCAGGATGTTATAGGTTTAAAATATTAACAATGAATATTTTGATAATATATAGTAGAAAACACCAACTTTATCACTCCCTAATCAAATTTGCAGCATAAAAATAACACATATTGCAATTATAGCATTTCAACCTATTTTCATTTCAATACAAAATAAGTCTATAACGCATAGGTGGCTATGAAAAATAAAAGCCATGACAATTTTTTTTATTAATCACAGCTGTCAGAATACGTTTAAAATAGTTTTGGGTAGTTAAGGTTTTCAAAATGGGTAGAGGAAAGGTTATTAGTGAGAAAATTCGGTTACTGATAATTAAATTTTTTAATTCTGGGAAATCAAACTCAGAAATTGCAATTTTGTTAGACTTATCGCGGTACAGTGTGAGTAATATTGTTAGAAGATATAACGTAACTGGTTCAGTTAATATTAAGCCACGATATGTGAAAAAAAGTAATATCACAAATGCCGACCGAAGAGCATTAAGAAGAATAATCGTGAAAAACAGGCGTGCCAATTATTTACAATCAAGTGCTCTGTGGAGTGCGTAATAAATAATAAAGGTGATGTTACCCAATGGTAATCTTTCAATTGTTGCTTTGTTAACTTCGCGCATTGTTTATTTGTTCAGATGTTCTATTAGTTATAGGTCTAAGTGATTTCAAATATGTATTTTTTACGACTAGAGTGTATCTAAAATGTTTTTGAGAAAATAAATTGTTTTAGAAGTAAATAGTTTCGTCATGTTTAGTTAATAAAGGCAAATCTTGAAGTGGGCCAACTGAAATGGGAAGGGGCTTGTATATGCTTCTTTTCTTTCTGTGAATATCGCTTTACCAAACCTACAAGATGAACTGGAATGAAATTAGAAGCAACTGTCACCAAGTTGTTGTCATTCCATCGGCATACAACTATTCCTGTATCCTTGTCTAATTGATATTCGTATGATCCTCTTTCTGTTTTCTTCATCAGGGATGACTTCATCAGTGGGCAGTTCAATGAGCGATTTTCACAAATAGAACCAGTGGCACCAAAGCCTCTTTTTTTCAGTTTCAGCTCAGGCAATAAATGAAGTGAAGTGAAGAAGTTATCAAAAGTACAAGTGGAACTGTCTATCGCTCCACTTGCCTCTTAGGATATCTGTATACTGTAGGATCACACTTGAGCCTAATCCATAAATATTCTTATAATTATTGTTGTCAGTTGCCTCTGACAATGCACCCTGATAAGGAGAAAACCAAATCACATAGCCCAATCGAAGAGCTCCTACCCAGAGTTTATACCCCCACCTTATAGGTTTTCCTCTTATGAACTGCTTACAACCATGTTTGCCAAAATAGGGAACCATGACTTCATCGTTGCTATGCTGTTGTTCCAAAGGAGCAAACTCAAAGAACTTCGTATTCAATAACCTAAACAATGGACGAAGTTTTGCATACCTGTCCGATTTATCCAGATCTGTATTGTCTCAGAAATGGAGGACTTTCATAATTTGTGAGAATCTGTCCCTTGACAGCTTTATTTACCACATCGTTGTGAGTATCACTCCTATTTTCCCTAAATATAAATCTCCTAGGATGAACCACATACCCACGCAATGTCAGGACACCTAAAAAACACTTCATTTCTCTCGAGGATACTTCAATATCCAAATTTCTTTATAGTGCATATCTATTGGTGCATTCAACTATCATGTCTATAACTTCGGCATCAAAAAAACATTCAAATAACTGCAAGGGAGACAATTCTTGGATGGGACCAGCAGGTTTATTCCATTCAATGATGGAAGGGGGAGGGATATCTTCATTAGTCCATGATAGTGTCTTGAGCTTTTTTATCGGACGAAGGCATGTACCTTCTAGCTGATGCTTTGGGATAAAGTTGTGATAGAGGTACAACTGCTCATAGTCTTCCTGTATCAATGATATTACGCTAGGCGGCCTATTTTGAATACTCATGGCGTCTCCGATTATTTCCACAACATTTCTTAGTTGACTTCCTGGAAGATTATTCCGTGTGGTAAACTTTTCATCTCCCGAATCACAATCTGTAACGTCATCATTTGCGTTCTCTGGAGGAAAAATACTACGCCATCAGGAGGAACGGGAATTCTA